TCTGTCCTGGATTTTCCATCCTTGATTAGAAGCTGAAACTTATTTAAAAACACAAGTCTTGGCCATTGTATAGGCTAAGAGTCTATACAAAGCAACAAACATGTATTAAGCACCTGCTGTATGTACCATGTCAGGTCTGATCTTGGGAGAGACACAAAATATAAATTATATATTCCCTCTCTGCAGCCCTCCGAGGCCCCAGTAGCTTAGTAGGGTCGTAAGACACCAACACAGCTAGGATATACAACGTTGCTTGGTAGGTGCATTACAGAGCTGAAAAAAGAGTGCTATGTGAGATCTGAGTGGAGAGCTTATTACTGACTGGGAAAGAAATCATGAAAGGCTTTCTTAAAGTAGGTGACAGGCTATTCTGAAGAAAGGGCTTTGTAAACCTTAAAGTGTTGTTGTTGTTGTTTTGAGGAAATCAGGGTTAAGTGACTTGCCCAGGGTCACCCAGCTAGTAAATTTCTGAAGCTAGATTTGTACTCAGGTTCTTCTGACTTTAGGGTTAGTGCTCTACCCCAATGTACCACCTAGCTGCCCCAAAGTGTTATAGAAATGTGTGCTATTGCTACCATGACCATGTTTTAAATTACCCTTCAGAAACTGATCCTCCCAGCATCCTGGCTCACAACCTAGAGGCCATCCTCGACTCCTCACATTCTCTCACCCCCATATCTAATCTCTTGCCAAGTCCTGTCTATTCTACCTTGAAATATCTCTTGTGTATTCCTCCTTCTCATCCTTGACAGTGCTACCCTTTTAGTAGGCTCTCATTACCACATGCCTGGACTATGGCAATAGTCTGCTGGTTGGTCTTCCTGCCTCAGTCCAGTCTTCACTCAGCTGTCAACGTGAACTTCCTAAAGCGCAGGTCTATTACTTCCCGTTCAATAAAATACTATGGCTCCCTACTACCTCTAGGATCAAATATTAAGTCCTCTGTTTGGACTTTAAGGCCTCTGATATTCTGGCACCTTCCTTACCTTTCCAGTTTTCTCATACCTTCTTCCCTCCAAGTGCTCTGTGATCTCCTGACTCTGATATCTTTGCTGTACTTTGCATACAATGCTCCATCTCCAGACATGGTGCATCTTCATTGGCTGTCTTCCATGTCTGGAATGCTCTTCCTCCTCATTTCTATCTCCTGCTTTCCTTCAAGTCCCAGCTAAAATCCTGTGTTCTACAAGCAGCCTTTTCTTATCTCCTGTAATACTTATTAATAGCTGTAATACTTATGTCTTCCTTTGGAGATTACACCCATTTAACTTTGTAAATATCGTGCTTGTACATGGTTGTTCGTATGTTGTCTTCAACATTAGACTGTGAACTCCCTGAGGGCAGGGACTGTTTTTGGTATTTTTTTTTTTGGCAGGGGTATTCCTACTATTTAGCATAGTGGCTCAAACAAGGTAGGTACTTAATAAATACTTCTTGAATTGCCTTCTCTTTGTACAGACATTCTCTTGGTGATCTCACCAGTTTCTATTGATTCAATTTGAATTAGAATCCCTTTGCAGATGACTTCCGTATCTGTATACTAACTGAGTTCTCACTCAGAGATCTAGTCACTTACCCACAGCTTTCTGCTGTACATTTCCACCTGAATATCCCATTTCCACCTCAAGCTCAGCACATCCAAACTGGAATTCATTATCTTCTTCCCTCTATCCCTAAACTCACCCTTCCTCTACATTTTCCCGTGTTAAAGGCATTAACCTTCTTTGTTTCCCAATTTCACCATTTTTGAGCCATCATTCACTTTTCTACATCCTTCACTCCTGCATCCAATCAGTTATTAGATCTTACTTCTACATTATCTCACATCTGGTCTCTTCTCTCACGCAGTCCACTCTAGGTCAGCCTCTTATCAGCTTTTGTCTGGACTATTGAAACAACCTGCTAACTAATCTCCTGGCTTCCAATTAGTTATCTCTTTTTTTTCATTGTTTATCCAATTTATTTCTAAACCATGTGATCTTCGAAAACTGACTGCCATAAAGTAGGACATGTGACATACATTCTGCTAGCATTTACTCTCATTCTCAGACAATGAAGTTTCACATATATTTAATAAATTCTCATCTTTTAGAATCATTTGGAATCATTCCAAATGAAAACTAGTTTTTGCTCCTGAATTCTGTACCTAGACTAAAACACGTTGCAACTTTTTTAAAAAATTGGTCTTTGCCTTTTGGATAGGTTTGCCATAGTGTTCTTACTATATATTATTTTCAAGGAGTTACCTCCCTTCTCCAAACCATCTCCCACACTACTTTGAAAGCAATCTTTGGAAGACATAGGCATGAGGATGTTACTCCCCTGCTCACAAATCTTCAGTGGTTCTCTAATGCCTCTGGGGGAAAAAAAAAAAAAGTAAAACAAAGCAAAATCAAACCAAAAATACCTCCTCAGTTTGGCATTTAAGCCTACCACAGTCTGGGTCCAATCTACCTTAATTGGCTAATCTCAAACTAGTCCCCTTCATGTGTTCTAGCCAGAATAGCCTATTTATTAGCTGTTCCCTGAACTGGGCATTCTGTCTTCCATTTCTATGTCTTCCCACAGGCTATCTGTCCTCCACAGGTAGAATGTATTACCTCCTCACCTTTACCTTCTAGAATTTATAGCTTCCTTTAAGGCTGAGCTTGGGTACCACTCCATCTGTGAAATTTCCTTACTTTCCTCTCCTCCCCTAGTTGTTGGTGTTCTCCCCCTCCCTGTATTATTTCTTATTCACTTGTCTGTGTCTCCCCTGTTGACTGTAAGCTTCTTGGGGGCAGAATGGCTTGCATAGTACTTTGTAAATAGTTATTTCTTGTTCAGTCGTTTTTCAGTTGTGTCTGACTCATCATGACCCCATTTAGAGTTTTCTTGGAAAAGATACTGGAATGGTTTGCCATTTCCTTCTCCAACTCATTTTACAGAAGAGGAAGCTGAGGCAAACAGGGTTAAGTCACACAGTAAATGTCTGAGGCTGGATTTGAACTTAGGAAGATAAGTCTTCCTGACTCCAAGACCAGAATTCTATCTACTGAGCCAAAAATACTGGAGAGGTTTGACATTTCCTTCTCCAGCTCATTTTACAGATAAGGCAACTGAATCAAACAGGGTTAAGTGATTTTCCCAGGCTCACACAGCTAGTAAGCATCTGAGGCCATATTTGAACTCCGTCTTCCTGACTCCAGGCCCAGCTCCCTATATATGGAGCCATTTAGCTGCCTCCTGTAAATAGTAGGCACTTAATAAATGGTTTTTGAATTGAATTGCCTGTATCAGGAGTTTGCCAGAGCTGGCTCATGCTCCTGAGATAAGTGTTTGTGTTTACACCTTAGAAATTGGCAAACAGGACAAATCAGAGCTTGGTTTATTGTTATATTGAGTGCATAGACTTAAGAAGGTGATGGAGAAAATATTAAAACTGAAGATTAAACTTAAAAGGGATTTGTGTATAATTTTTTTTCAGAGAGCTGGTTGTTAAGATATTTAACCATACGCCCCTGCTGTTAATGCTCTCCTTTCTCCTCTGTCCAAATTCTTTCTGTCCTTCAAGGCCCAGCTTTAATCCTACCTTCTCAAGGAAGCCTTCCCTGACTAGACCAGCCCTCACTGATGTCCTTCTCTTCTGAACTACAGTATTTAAAGTCTCTACTGAAGTCTTGAATTATTTCTTTTTCCTTTACATGTGACAGTCTTCTCACCTTAAACCATAAGCTCCTTGTGGGGTAGTCTCTACTACTGTTTAGCAGTATTGACCTTGGACAAGCACTTAGCCTCCTGGGGCCTCTGTTTCCTTATCTGTAAAAATGAGGGGGATAAGCTCAATGATCTCTAAGGTCCCTTTCAGGTCTAAATCCTATTGACCATAGCAAGTGTTCAAAAAGTACCTGTCAATTAAGCTATTAAGAAGAAACTCCTCTCTTTCTTAGTAATCCATTCTGGTATGGAAGACTCTTCCTTGTGGGAGTTCTTTCAGATTCCTAATCTCCATACCACTTGCTGCAAATAAAGCCAGTTTTCTCTCTCTTGTTGGTGAGGGAAAAGTCAGTCATGATCTTCTATTTACTCTTCTTTCTGTATTTGAAGACTGATTATATCTTTTCTCAGGTAAATAATTATTATCATCATCATGCTAGCTAGCATTTACATAGCACTTTAGTATTTGCAAAGCACTTTACAAATATTTTCTCATTTGATCCTTATAAGAAGCCTGGGAGGCAGGTGCTATTATTCTCCCCATTTTACAGATGAAGAAACTGAGGCAGACAGTGCTTAAGTCACTTGCTCAGGGTCACACAACTAGTATGTGATTGAGTCTAGATTTAAAGTCAGGTCTTCCTGATGTCTGATCCAGCACTCTGTCCTTTGCATATCCACCTGTCTTTAAATAGTTTCATTTTCTCTTGTCTACAAGAGCATTACTTACCACAACTGTGGCTCATTTTTATGCCTTGATCTTTTGCCCATTCCTGCTTAAATACCTGTTTTCCAAGGCATGTAGAAGCTTTCCTCTCTACCATTTGCAAGGCTTACAAGGTTCTTTTTGGTCTCCCTGCTAAAGACAACTTTGGTGGACTACAAATTTGAGGGGATCTGGACCTGTCTTCACCATATGAATGACTTTGCAAGCCTCAGAGCATCAGCACGAAGCCTGAAGTCTACTGGATCATAGATTCTTAAATCTGAGGGCTGGCAAAGTTGTTGGGTCTATCCCCTCACTGACAGGCTGGGCTTAGGCCTGGCTGTGTAAGACTTTATAGCTACATTCTTTTTAATTGCTTCATGGTGAAGGAGGCTGCTTCTGTCTCCTCTCAGTGTGGGACAGGGACAGAGTAGGGAGGTTCAGAAATACTCTTAACTGGACTGAGCATTTTTCATTGCTGACCTAATGAGAGAGTATGACTAAAGGCCCATTAGGCAGAATGTTTGTGTGAACAGTAATAGAAAAGTTCTAAACTTCCTGAAACGGAAGATAATTTATCTAAATAACTTCCTGTCTCCCTGCGGCCAAGCAGCAGCAGAACAGATATTTGACAGAGAAATTTTGTCTGCATGTTGGGTGAGTTCAGTCGCAATTCATTTGGAGGAATGGGCAGAGTTGGTTGAAGGGGGGACACCTGTAAAGGCAGCCCAGCGGTCCCATTAACTCCATGTCTGCCTGAGAGTTTGCAGGGAATTTCATTCTCTCTAGAAGCTTAGGGATAAACAGGGGTGCCAGGGGAGTGAGAAATGTCAACAGAAGGGCAGGTTGTAACTTTCCAGGCTAAGGTAAGAAGACCTTACAAAATGCTGGAGCTCTGATGAGTGCCTGGAGCAATCCTGGCTTGCTTTCTTAGAAAATGAAGTTTGACATCTTAGCAGGAAATGGGAAGAATAGACTGTTTCAGGCGCTTCTGTTACGCTCTTCCAGCCCTCAGGGGTAAAGGTTTAGACAGGCATCCTTGGGGGATGGGGGAATGTGTTGCTTTTAAAAAGCACACTTTGGAGGCTCATCCTAAAATGGAAATTGCTACCTTTTGCCAATGGAAAGATCACAGAACAGAATCCAAAAATAACCTCTTTCTGTCTATTCCTGTGATCAAATTTGGACAGGGCAGGACGTCCCTAGAGGTCAATGGGCCAGAGCTTGGGAGGGGGGCCTGGGGACGGGAGCCTGTTCCCTTTGGACTTTTCTAGAGTTGAATGGGAGGAGCGAAAGTCACCTGAGCTTCTGGACATATTGCCAGAGGGCTTGGCCTCCTGGAGACTTGTTCAGTCTACACTGAGGTCAGTTGCACTGGGGAAGTCCTAGCTATGAAAATAAAGCTTCATCACTTGGTCCCCCAACACTTACACAAATTAATTTTTTCCTGTTCTCTAACTCAAAGGCACACTAGAGTCTCACTATGACTATTCTTGGGCTTTATCATGGTGGACTGTAGCTCTGTGACCCTGGGAAAGTCACTTAATCCTGTTTGCCTCAGTTTCCTCATCTGTAAAATGAGCTGGAGAAGGAAATGGCAAAGCACTCCAGTATCTTTGCCAATTACAATTATAAGGAGGCTGCTAGAGAACTAGGAGTTAGAAGACTTGGTTTCTTCCTAAGTTAGTTGGCAGTAGTTAGCCATGGTGGTTAGGGATTGGACCTGCTGTGAGACTGATATAGGGAATTCTCAGATGACAAACTGCCAGTGCAAGTTAGCGCCTTTTTTTGCAACTTACAATCACTGAAATGTCAAACTTGCAGCCTGCAGGCCACATGTAGCCCATAGCACTCCAACCTGATTAAAATGTACATTGGGAAATACTTAACAAAATAAATAAATATACAGTAAGATATAGATAATATATTTTAAAACTCAATCATATACAGCCCCCAGGAATCTCTACGTATGAATTAATGTCTCCCAAATTGAAAAATTCTGTGACTTGCCTAGAGGCATGCAGCAAGAATGTGTCAGAGATGGGATTTGAACCTAGATCTTCCTGTCTCTGAGTCTATCTCTTTATTCGTTATACCAATGGCATCAAACTCAAGTGGGAACAGATCCCTGCAGGCCACATGTTGACTTAGAAAATCACACGTTAACATTATTTATGTTGTATTATATTTTTATTTATTTTGTTACGCATTTTCTAATTCCATTTTAATCTGGTTAGGAGCACTTAGTTTCACCCTAACACCTTTGCATGATTTTGGCAAAATCCCATTTCTTTCTTTAGCTTTCTTTGCCCATTTGTAAATGAGGGAGTTGGATAAGATGATCTCAGAGGTTCTTTCTGGTTCCAACATTCTACTAAAGAAAGTCTTAGATGGGGTCCAAAGTAGACTGTATACTATGTGTGTATGTGTGTGTGTGTGTGTGTGTGTGTGTGTGTACACATATATGTGAATTTTGTATTATAGTAGGTAGTGTTATAGTGAAGCTTCAGTTTCTGCCTCTCTCCATGTTGGTTTCTATCTTCCTCTCCCCACCTCTTCCTTTATACCTCCTCTATATGCTCCTTCCACACCTGCCACCAATTAAGTGTAGAAGGCACAGATTTCACTTACTTCTGCTCTTTTTCTCTCAGTAGTGTCCAACTCTCTGTGACCCCATTTGGGTTTTCTTGGAAAAGATACTGAAGTGGTTTGCCATTTCCTTCTTGGCTCATTTTATAGTTGAAGAAACTGAAGGGAAACAGGGTTAAGTGACTTGTCCAGGGTCATACAGTTAGTAAGTGTCTGAGGCTAGGTTTGAACTCCAGGCCCAGCACTCTATCCCCTTTGCCAGCTAGCTGCCCTGACTTTTCTTGGAGGAACAGGTAATTATCCTGGGGGGTATTCAGCCTTCTTGTCAGTCTATGCCTTTGTGTGGCTCCAAGGAGCAGGTTAAGAAGACAGAGCTAGACGGGGACACTGACAGAAAAGACAGAGGCAGAGAGAAAGAAAGACACAGAGAAAGACAGACAGGCAGACACAGAGAGACAGACAGAAAGAGAGACACAGTGATAGAGACAGAGACAGAAACAGAGACAGTGATAGACAAAGACAGAGATAGACAGTGACAGAGAGACGGATAGAAGCAGAAACACAGAGCTATAGAGACAGAGAAAGAGACACAGAGACAGACATCTAGATAGGCACAGTCAGACAGACAGAGGCTGAAAGAGACAGAGAGATAAAGAGACAGAGACATAGAGAGATCTCGGTGAAAACATCTCTCTACTGTGCTCCACCCTTCCCTGAATAAGTAAGATGTCACATATAAGGGACTAAAGAGGCCACAGATAGAGCAGTGAGAAAAAAAGGCATTGGGTCAGAGCCCTCATGTTTTTCCCAGTTTCGCTAAGCAACGGTGTCCTGAAATCCTTAGACTCAAGCATAGAACTTTGTTTTCCACAGGAAAAAAAAAATTGAAAAGGAGAATATTTGGCGGAAATGGGCTTGGGATTAGTAGGTTTTTTCTTTTTCTCTCTTTTTTTTTTTAAGGCTGTTTTGTTTTTGTTCTGGGTTGCTCAAGGTAATGACCTAGCACTCAGCCCCCTTTGCCAAGAAACTCTCCCTGCCTAATTAGCCTGAGGTATTGTAGACTAGTGTGGAGAGGGCAGGCAAGAGTGGGGGGAGGCAGAGGGCTGCTATGAGGCTGAGGGGTGAGGGGTGAGAGAAAGCAGGGCTGGGTAGGAGAAATGAGAAACTGAGATTAGGAAGGTGGGGGAGGATGGGAACAAGGGCTGGTTATTAAATGCTGGGGTCTTTAAAAAATCCCTCTGTAATTAATTTTCTCCTGAATTAATGAGAAGGCTCTTGGATGGAGTGGAGAGAGAGGAATTCGTTGCCCCTGGGATACTTTTCTGGGTGTCTTAGGGAATGATGGTAACATGGTAGACAAGTTTGAATGAAAACTCAGCTTGGGTTTTCAGAGAGATTCTTCTGCCTGCCCCTTGAGAATGTCTTAAGCTAGGCATTAGAAAGCAAAGGAGGCTTTCTTTTGTCTTAGGCTCTGTAATAGAATAGAATAGACCTCCATAGAAACCAGGAGAGAGACAGAGACAGAGACAGAGAGAAAGACAGAGACAGACAGAGACTGAGACAGAGATAGAGAGACAGAGAAAGACAGACAGAGAGAGAAAAGGAGAGAGTGGAGGGGAGAGGGAGAGAGGGAGAAAGAGAGCATTTGTGTATGTGAAAATGCGTCATTTAAAAATAATAGCATTTATATAGAGTTTTGAGGTTTGCAAAGCACTTTAAAGATATTTGGTTCTCACAATAATGCTGGGATTATTGTTCTCACAATATGCTGTTTTATAGATGAGGAAAATTACTAGAACATTTTAAATTATGATTGAGCAAATATTTGGTGAAGAAAATCACTTTTCCTCACTTGTATTCCAATCCTGAGGTGGAGGGCAAAGGATGGAGGGAGACTGTATAATGTGATTGAAGACTCATTGTCCTGGAAGTCAGGGTTCTGGAACTGGTTCTACTGCTATTTGTGTGACTGCTAGAAAATCTTATCTTTTTGCCTTCGTTTTCTCTTTTGTAAAATGAGAAGTTTAGACAAACTATTCTCTCAGGTAACTTATGGCTACAATATTTGGTGACCCCATAATCACTGATGATGATATTTTTTTTTTTTGAGGCAGTTGGGGTTAAGTGACTTGCCCAGGGTCACACAGCTAGTGAGTATGATGATACCTTTTTAATCTGAAATAGAAACAAGGGAATGTGCCTTTGTCATCTTCTGGGTGCCATTTTATATTCAGCTGAGCCTGCATCCTTTCTGAATGAGATAGTCCTGCAAAAGAGAGACAGAATCCTAATAAGGAAAGTCAGTGGAGGGCTTCTCTATTTATCAGCCAATAAATCTGTGTCAGTGTCCTGAAAATGAACAGAGAATTGGGCCAGATAATTCATGAGTAGCCTGTTACTGGCAGTATCCAAGTAATGATTTAGCAACCTTGTATTAAGGATGTTGTCAACCCTATCAGCTTGTAAGCAATCATGTATCATGCAGGAGGTTAGACTTAGGCTACCATTGGATTTTATTGTTCTAGAATCTTTCTTGACAGGGTTTCTTAACCTGGAGTCTGTGAACTTGCTTAAAAAAACCCAATAACTGATAATTGTATTTCAATGTAATTTGTTTCCTTTTTAATTCTATATATTTGATGTTATGAATTTAAGAATATTACTCTGAGAAGGGTTCCATAGGTTTCACTCAGCTGACAAAGGGATCAGTGACTCAGAAAATGTAAAAACCCTGTCCTCTTGAGGCTTCTTTCAGCTCTAGAATTCAATGCCACTGAAAGTAAGAGTCATTGACAGTGTAATGAAAAAGGCAGAATATGTGGTTATGGTTACATTTTTTCATATTAATTGAATTTCTCATTTAGTTTAATTTCTTTTTACTGTCGGTCTGTATAAATATATTGTTGTTGTTGTCTGTCTTTCCTTTTCGAAGAGGACCAATTATATCATAAGGTGATGTCTTGACTTGGATTTAAGTGAGATCTTGAATTGGATTAAGTGAGGTAGAGTTGCACTAAGTCATTAGCCTCACTCTCTCTTGCAGAGTCTCTGAAGTCTAGTGGTAGGAC